ATACAAATACGTGAGAACCAACAACACACTCCTGAATGACCAGTGAGTCAATAAACAAATTAAGAAGAAAAATTCAAACTTTCTTGAACAAATAAAAATGGAAACATAATATACCCATACCTATGGAATACAGCAAAAGCAGTGCTAAAAGAGAATTTTACAGCAATAAATGCCTACATCAAAAGAGCATTAAGACTTCAAAAAATCTAATGATGCACCTCAAGAAACTAAAAAAGCAAGAACAAACCTATAGTATAAGAAAATAATAGATACCAGTGCACAAATAAACGAAATAGATACTAAAATAAATAAACAAACAGAAAGGAACTCTAGATGGAGAAAGGCTATCAAAATTGTAGGTAACAACACTACCACACAAAGGAAGGAGGGAAATACAATGAATTATATAACAATCACTGTCTAATAGTAAGTGTACTTAATTATGGAAATTGATTAAGCTCATTTACAATCTCTACAGAAAACTAACCACAGGTCATTGCATATAAGAAGTATTTAAAAAATGCAATTTGCTGATGTTGTCCATACACAGTTTATTTATAATACCTTGACGAAAACCAAGGTTATGTATGTCTAGGAAAAGATAAGTAAGGGAAAGCAGTCCATACTTAATTGCTCTCTGGATGTGCCACATGTAACACTTGTACATCTCCATTTCCTTCCTTCCTCCCTCCTTTCCTCCCTCCCTCTGTAAGAAAATGATGTGTCGGCTTGGCACGGTGGCTCATGCCTGTAATTCCAGCACTTTGGGAGGCCAAGGCAGGCAGACCACGAGGTCAGGAGATCGAGAACATCCTGACCAACATGGTGAAACCCTGTCTCTACCAAAAATACAGAAAAATTAGCTGGACACAATGGCACACACCTGTAGTCCCAGCTACTTGGGAGGTTGAGACAGAACTGCTTGAATCCAGGAGGCAGTGACTGCAGTGAGCCAAGATTGCGCCACTGCACTACAGCCTGAGCAACAATGTGAGACCTCCATCTCAAAAAAAAAAAAAAAAAAAAAAGAAAGAAAAGAAAAAAAGAAAATGATGTGTTATTGAGGCCCATATTTGCAACTACCTAAAGATCTGGCTTAAGAGAAAGGTGAATAAAGTACTTAGGAGTGAATAGTTAACACATTTCTTACATGAATACTCTCAAATATTGAACTGATTAGGCTGTGCAATCTTTGGGGAGTGGGGAAGACAGGGTCTCTGTCACCCAGGCTGGAGTGCAATGGTGCCACCTTGGCTAACTGCAGCCTCAACTTCCTGGGTTCAAGCAATCCTCCCACCTCAACCTCCCGAGTAGCTAGGACTATAGGTACACACCATCATGACCAACTAATTTTTTGTTTTTAAATGGAGTCTCATTCTGTCACCCAGGCTGGAGTGCAGTGGTTTGATCTCAGCTCACTGCAACCTCCACCTCCTGGGTTCAAGCAATTCTCCTGCCTCAGCCTCCCTAGTAGCTGGGATTACAGGTGCATTGCAGCATGCCTGGCTAATTTTTTTTTTTTTTTTTGAGATGGAGTCTTGCTCTTATTGCCCAGGCTGGAGTGCAATGGCCCAATCTTGGCCCACTGCAACCTCTGCCTCATGGGTTCAAGTGATTCTCCTGCCTCAGCTTCCCCAGTAGCCGGGATTACAGAAGCCTGCCACCATGCCCGGCTACTTTTTGTATTTTTAATAGAGATGAGTTTTTACCATGTTGGCCAGGCTAATTTCATACTCTTGGTCTTAAGTGATCCACCTGCCTCTGCCTCCCAAAATGCTAGGATTACAGGCATGAGCCACCATGCCCGGCTAGGCTGTGTAATTTTTAAAAATACACTAATTAAAAAAAAAAATTAGGAATGAATGTGAAAACATAACATTCTATGGCTTTTCTCCCTCTGCATTCACATACAGATCTCTTCAGCTATGTAGCTTTTAGACAGCTGGTCAAACTTCTGAGCCACAGTCAGGAAAGAAGTTGTTATTAGTTCTTACATTACAGTGAGCCAATAGACTTTGTAGTGCTGCACAATGGGGGACGCTTTTTAGTTCAGGCTCAGGCTGAATGTTAGTTCTTTTTTTTTTTTTTTTTTTTTAAATCAGCCAGAAAGCAACCAAGTTTAAAAGCCTTTCCTCTCTGTTACCACAGAGTAACAATGAACTCAAGTGCAAGCAATACAGGCAACTAGTAGAAAAACACTGAGCTCCAGCATTTCAAGAATAGAGGTGCTATTCATGGCAACAAATAAGACAGGCAGCAAGCAGTTTTGCAGAGTATTTTGTTGGAAAACTAATCCTTCTTTAAAAAAAAAAAAATGTCCACTGGCTGGGCATGGTGGCTAACGCCTATAATGCCAGCACTCTGGGAGGCCAAGGCGGGTGGATCACCTGATGTCGAGAGTTCAAGACCAGCCTGACCAACATGCAGAAACCTCTTCTCTACTAAAAATACAAAATTAGCCAGGTGTGGTGGTATGTGCCTGTAATTCCAGCTACTTGGGAGGCTGAGGCAGGAGGATTTCTTAAACCTGGGAGGCGGAGGTTGCGTTGAGCCAAGATTGTACCATTGCACTCCAGCCTGGGACACAAGAGTAAAACTCCATCTCAAAAAAAAAAAAAAAAAAAATGTCCACTGATGATACTCTTTCTGTAGAAGTGACAGGGAATTATCTGAAATTAGAGGTAAGCGTCTTTAGACCCTTATGGCAGAGAAGAACAGCGTGAGAGAAAAGAGCTGACAGTAGTATCCAAAAGGAGGCAAGCCCAGGCCAAACATTTCCTGCATAATAATTTCCAATCCTTGGTAAGGAGAAGTAGAAATTAATATCAGATCCCTACTACATAGTACATTTTGTTTTGTTTTGTTTAATTTTTTCTTTTGAGACAAAATCTTGCTCTTTTGATCAGGCTGGAGTACAGTGGTATGATCTCAGCTCACTGCAACCTCTGCCTCCCGGGTTGAAGGAATTCTCATACCTCAGCCTCCCAAGTAGCAGGGATTACAGGTGTCTGCCACCACACCTGGCTAATTTTCGTATTTTGTAGAGACAGGGTTTTGTCATATTGGCCAGGCTGGTCTCGAACTCCTGACCTCAGATGATCTGCCTGTCTTAGCCTCCCAAAGTGCTGGGATTACAGGCATGAGCACGGTGCCAGGCCATGTATAGTATTTATATTATCTCATGTTAGATATACTTCATTTACCTAAAGAGCAAACTATATGTAGTCTCATTCAATTGTGTGTGTTTGGGTATTCTCAGTAAGTTAATTTGATTTTCTTCTTTAAGTTAATGAGTACTTTTAGGTATTGCCCTAGTGTAGACTAGCTGGATGCCTCCCTTTCTCCTACAGACAAGATTCCTGTGGTCGGAATGATGGATCAATAGCTTTTCTAGTTCATTCCTATCTGGATTTGTAATATATCAGACTTGTACATGTCTGTTGTCTCTTAATTGAGGATAATAGTGACAGTAGTAATTAGCAGTAGTTAATATTATGGAAAGCTTACTAAGTACCAGCCACTGTGCTAAGCACAGTAAGTACATTATCTCACATAAATCTTAAACTATGCCCGTTTTACAGATGAAGAAGCTGAGACTTACAGAAGTTAAGGATCAGTTATTAAGTGACAAAGCCAGGATTTGAGCATATGACTATTTGATATGAAAGCCCCCTCATTTTTAACTACTTTAATGCTATCAATAATTATAATTGATAATATCAATAATACAGTTATTTTTTTATTTTTATTTTTTTTAGAGACAAGGTCTCACTCTGTTGCCCAGACTGGGGTGCAGTGGCACAATCATAGCACATAGCAGGCTCAAACTCCTGGGCTCAAGCAATCTTCCCACCTCAGCTTCCTGAGTAGCTGGAACTACAGGTGCACTCCACTGCACCTGGCTTATTTCTTCATGTTTTTGTAGAGATGGGTGTCTTATTTTGTTGTCCAAGCTGCCATTTCATTTTAACAGCATTTATTACTTTCTAAAAAGTACATTTAAATGCTTCCTCAATTCATTTTCTTAGTGATTTTAGGAAGAAGGTAGAAAAGTAGAATGGGCATTTTCATCTTCATGTTGTATAGATAAGATCTTGAGGTTCAAAAGATTGAGAAATTGCCTAAGATTATTATCTTCTAAACAATAAATCAGGAATCAGGTAAATAATCTATATATTTTAATTCCAAGTTCAGTGTACCTTTCACTAAAACAAAATTGAATTTAGTTAATCCAATGGCTTTGTTGTTATTGGCAATGAGATAAAAAGATTCTTTTACTCCTGGGATGTTTGTATTTACCTAATTTTATTTTTGAGAAAAAGTCCTGCACCGCCACCCAGGTTGGAATGCAGTGGCATGATCACAGCTCACTGCAGCCTTGATCTCCCAAACTCAAGCAATCCTCTCACTTCAGCCTTCTGAGCCGCTGGGACTACAGGTGTGAGCCACCAGCCCCGGCTAATTTTCATAGTTTTTGTGGACACGGTTTTGCCATGTTGCCGAGGCTGGTCTTGAACTCCTGGTTTCAAACCATCTGTCTACCTCAGCCTCCCAAACTGCTGAAATTACAAGCATGAGCTGCCGTGCCCAGCCCGGGGATGTTTTTAATATTCATTTGATAAATTTAAAAGCCCACATCGAACAAAAATAGCCTTATTAAATAGGCCAGGATTTCCCTATTTCAGCACTACAGACCTTTTGAGCCAGATGACTTTCTGGTGACTGTTTTGCGAGTTATATGATGTTTAGCAGTATCTATACCTATCAGATGTTAGTAGCACCTATTTGAGAATTACTGAAATACACAAATAATTAAGTTGATGGCTAAAGTGCATCTAAGTAGAAATCTACCAGTGTTAGGATTATTACTGATCATTATTTATAAATAAAAGGTATTTTATGAGAAGGTATTTTATGCTTTAAGCAGGAAAAAGGTTTTTGACATTTTTGCATTTCCTGAAATAAAATTCCACTGTGAATTTTTAAAATTCTGTACTTACTCTTCGTAACTCATCAGAAATGAGAAATGGATCACAAAAAGAATCTAAACATTTAACAATATGTCCATTGTCTCGTACAATATCTTCATCATATAACCGATGAAAAAATGACATTGAAAGCTGTGTGCAAGGAACATTTATAGCTTCAATTTTTTTCACTTCAGTTCCTGAAAAAAGATATTTTATAAGAATGGAGATAGAAAAATTAATTTGGTATTCTCAACTATTTCCAAAATAAATTACTATGCAGAAATTCTAAGAAGTTAACAAATATGACATTTTTTGATATATTTAAAATATATATTAGTTTATGAATTTTATTAAATTCTTATTTTGCAGCTTCTTCATTTCTGTTAATCATTAAGAGTTTATGCCAGGCGTGGTGGCTCACGCCTGTAATGCAAGCACTTCTGGAGGCCAAGGAGGGCAGATCACTTGACGTCAGGAGTTCAAGACTAGCCTGGCCAACATAGTAAAACCCCATCTCTACTAAAAATACAAAAATTAGCCAGGTGTGGAAGCACGTGCCTGAATCCCAGCTACTATGGAGGCTGAGGCAGGAGAACTGCTTGAGCCTGGGGGAGGGGCGGAGGTTGCAGTGAGCCAAGATTGTGCCACTGCACTCCAGTCTGGGCAACAGAAACTCTGTCTCAAAAAAAAAGAGTTTATAACAAAATCTCACCATTTCAGGACTGGACAGCTAGATGAATACTTAAAAATGAAATACATTTTAAAAAAATGTAGTAGAGAATTCTTAACACATATTATCAGAATTGCCTATAAAAGCATAGGATTTGCTTTGTATGATTTTGGATTGATATTATGCTTAAAGCTGTATAACTCACAATTTTTTTTTTTGAGACAGAGTTTCACTCTTGTTGCCCAGGCTGGAGTGCAACGGTGTGATCTCGGTTCACCACAACCTGCGCCTCCCAGGTTCAAGTGATTTTCCTGCCTCAGCCTCCTGAGTAGCTGGGATTACAGGCATGTGCCACCACGCCTGGCTAATTTTGTATTTTTTCATAGAGATGAGGTTTCTCCATGTTGGTCAGGCTCGTCTCGAACTCCTGACCTCAGCTGATCTGCCCACCTTGGCCTCCCAAAATGCTGGGATTACAGGCATGAGCCACCATGCCCAGCCACAAAAATTTTAATTGATGGGCACTTGTAAAATTCTTAAGTATATCTTGAACACATTTTCTCTTCATTTAAAAATTTCTTGGCTGCGTGTGGTGGGTCACCCCTTTAATCCCAGCACTATGGAAGGCCAAGGCAGATGAATCACTTGAGGTCAGGAGTTCGAGACCAGCCAAGTAAGGAGTTTGGGACCAGCCTGGCTAACATGGTGAAACCCCATCTCTACTAAAAATATAAAAATACAAAAACTAGTTGCATGTGGTGGCGGACTCCTGTAATTCCAGCTACTCAGGAGGCTAAGGCAGAAGAATCACTTGGACCTGGGAGGCAGAGTTTGCAGTGAGCTGAGATGGCGCCACTGCACTCCAGCCTGGATGACCAAATGAGACTCCATTTCAAACAAACAAACAAAAAATTTCTCCTTTGTGATCTCATTCACAGTGTTTACTACAGAAAAACAGTTTTCCAAGTGAAGGTAAATTTTAAATAAGGACTTAATCAAATTATCACAAATTCAGAATTACAGAAAATAGAAATAATGGCATTTTGTCTATTTTTCTCCTATAGACCTACTTTTTCCCCCATCCTCCATCCCCTATCCCACACTTATTTCTTGAATTTATCATTCAGGAATGGATTTTCTGCTACTAGAGGTCCTATTAAATTACAGAAAGTCATAAAGATTAAAATGGATATTTTTATTATTACCTCCATCAATCACTGAATCAGTCTCTATGTACACACATACACACACACTCTCACTTAGATAGAAGGGGGGTGGTGTTCTTTTGTTCAAAAGTTCTAAGATTGTAAACCTAGGTGTTGTGGCCCTTGGTGTATCCCTACTCTGGATAGATTTGCTGGATCTCTGACCTGAGAAGTAGCTTGTGCTTAAGAAGAGTAATACTGGGGCCGGGCGTGGTGGCTCACGCTTGTAATCCCAGCACTTTGGGAGGCCGAGGCGGGTGGATCACGAGGTCAAGAGATCGAGACCATCCTGGTCAACATGGTGAAACCCTGTCTCTACTAAAAATACAAAAATTAACTGAGCATGGTGGCGCACGCCTGTAGTCCCAGCTACTCGGGAGGCTGAGACAGGAGAATTGCTTGAACCCAGGAAACGGAGGTTGCGGTGAGCTGAGATAGCGCCATTGCAATCCAAGCCAGGTAACAAGAACGAAACCTCGTTTCGAAAAAAAAAAAAAAAAAAAAAGAAGAGTAATACTGGTGAATGTTTACACTACCTGTTTCAGCTGTCCACTTGAGAGTCATGCTAGGACCTGTTGTTCTATGTCCTGAGCTACGCTCATGTGGAGGCATGAAGGATGCCTGAGGCCAAGAACTGTGTATGCCTCAGTAATTGCAAAAGCTATGCTGCTAAGTTGAGAAGCTTCCGTTGTTTAGAGGTAAAATCCTCTGAGGGATTAGATAAAGAAAAAAGGAGACCACAGAAATCGATAAGAGGAGTTCTAGGCATGTTGAAAGACCAAAAAAACAAAAGCAGTGTAGAGCCTGATAGTTTCTGAAGATTGGTCAGTGGATACAAGATGAGGGATGGACACTGGGCATGCCATTTTAATTAGTCTACCCTAGCTCTGATTTGGGGAGTGTAAGGAGAGTTCGGATGGTGCCAAATTGTGATTAAATTCAAACCACTTAATCTGAGACATGAAAACAGCATTTGTTATGAACTGAATTCTATCCCTTCAAAATTCACATACTGAGACATGAAAATAGCATTTTCTATGGACCGAACTCTATGTTGAAGCTCTAGCCCTCAATGTGATAGTAGTTGGAAATGGGGCCTTTGGGTTTCAATGAGGTAGAGGGAAGGATGGTCATGGAATTTCGAAATATGAACTAAGGAGGACATAGTTCAGTCACTGAGTCTGTCACCACTAGAACCCCAAATTCATGTTCCTCTCACATGCAAAATACATTCATTCCATTCCAACAGCCCCACAAACTTTTTTTTTCTTAGACAAGGTCTCACTCTGTCGCCCAGGCTGGAGTGTGGTGATGTGATCACGGCTCACTGTGGCCTCAACTTCCTAGGCTCAAGTGAATCTTCCGCCTCAGTCTCCCAAACAGCTGGGACTACAGGTGTGCACCACCATGGCCAGATTATTTTTTGTAGAGACAGGATCTTGTTGCCTTGCTTAGACTGGTCTCAAAGGCCCGGCTCAAGTGATCTTCCTACCTTGGCCTCTCAAAGTCTTGGGATTATAAGCGTGAGCCACCTTGTCCTGCTCCCAAAACTTTCACTCATTCCAGTATCAACTCTAAAGTCCAAATTCTCTTCTAAATATAAAAATTGGCTATAGGTAGACGAGGTATGATTCATCCTAAGGCAAAATTCCTCTCCAGCTGTAAACCTGTGAAGAAGGACAAGGTATGTGTTTCCAAAATATACAGGTGGGACAGACATAAGCTAGTCATTTTCATTCCAAAAGGGAGAAACAGGAAATAAGAAAGGGGTGACAGGTGTCAAGCAAGCCCTTAACTTAGAAAAGCAAATTTCTTTAGATCTTAAATGCTCAAGGATAATCTTCTTTGGTTTGATACTCTGCTTCTGGACCCAATGGGGTGGCAGTCTTCTACACTGGTGGCGGTAGAGCCCTGAAGGCTCTGGGTGGCCTAACCTCCAAGGTTCCACAGAGCCAACTTAGCTCCCATGCTCTGCAGGGTGCCCCTGCCTCCAAGGCTTTGGTTGGAGGCCATCTGGCCTGCTGAAATGGAGGCTTGGCCCTGATGGCCCTGAAGATCTCTGAATTGCTTCGGGGTCTTTCTAACCTTTTCTTGAAGAAAAGCACATGTTCACAGCCCAATAGTGCTATGGTCCAGTCTTGTAGGATCTAAGAAGTCCAATAGCCTTCCTTCATCTCATCTGATTTCTTCTGGCCCCTGTAATTCAAACTGGCAGAGTCTTTCCTGCTGATGTAATTCCATCTCTATTCCTGACTTCTGTTGAAATGGCTGATTAAGTCCATGAGTCATACCCATGATCTCTTTATCAAATGGCTGTTCGTGTTTTGAACAGTGTTCTCTTCAGAATAAACTTTCTCATTTTTTATAATAAGGACAGGTTGAAAACTCTCCAAATCTTCAAATGTTGGTTCATTTTTTATTAAAAATTCCCTCTGTAATTCATCTCTCTTTTTTCACACTTTACTATAAGCAAGACATTACTTTAACACTTTGCTTAGAAATCTCCTCAGCTAAATCTCCAATTTCATCACTTACAAGTTCTACCTTCTGCCGGGCATGGTGACTCACGCGTGTAATCCAAGCACTTTGAAGGCCAAGGTAGGCGGATCACCTGAGGTCGGGAGTTCAAGACCAGCCTGACCAACATGATGAAACCCTGTCTTTTAAAAAAAAACAAGTTCTACCTTCCATAAAACAACAGAAAACAATTATCCAAGTTCTTTGCCACTTTATAACAAAGATCACCCCAGTTTCCAATAACATATTCCTTATTTCCATGGGAGGTGTCACCAGAATTGCCCATAATGTCCATACACATGCACCTCAGGCATCTACTCATTATTCGGTTCCAAAGCCACTTCCACATTCTTAGGTATTTGTTATAGCAGCACCTCACTTCTCTGTACCAAGATCTGTCTTAGTCAGCTTGGGCTGCTACAATAAAATGCCATAGTCTGGGTTGCTTAAACAATAGACATTAATTTCTCAAAGTTCTGGAGGCTAGAAAGTCCAAGATCAAGGTCCAGATGATTCAGTGGCTGGTGAAGGCACTCTTCTTGGCTTGCAGAAAGCTGCCTTCTTTCTGTGTACTCAGATGGCAGACAGCAAGCTCTAGTGTTTTTACCTCTTATTATAAGGGCACCAAACCCATCATGAGGGCTCCACCTTTGTGGCCTCATCTAAACTTAATTATCTTACGAAGGCCCCATTTCCAAAAACCATCACATTGAAGGGTTAGGGATTAAACATAGGAATTTGGGGGTGGGGGCACAACTCACTCCATAGCAAATGCTATCTTTTTATGCAGGAATGTCATTAAATTATGTCCCCAGCATTTATAAGATATGTAATGCATCATTATCATCACATACAGAAAGAATACATTTTTCCCCTAATACTAGCATTATAATACACCAGATGCCTCCTTATTATTTGGTGTCTTAAGTTAGTACTTTTCTGGCAACCCAATCAATGTGGAAGTGACAGAGGCAGGAGAGTAAAGTGGTCAAGGTCTTGAATTCTGGAGCCTGGATTTGCATCTCAAATCTGCTCACTCAGCTGTGTAAAACTGCACAAATTACTTAACTTATGCCTCTGACTATTCATCTGTAAAACAGTGACATATAATAATACCTCTCCTGAGTTGTTTTATGAATGAAAGGAAGTAATGTGTATGATGCCCTTAGCTCAGCACATAGGAAGCATCCATTACATGTTATTAGAAAAAGACAAAGTGTGTCTAAACATAGGAGCTATGGTGGCTGGCTGAGAGGATAAAACAGCACTGACAACTGGAAATCTCTAGGGAGTGCAGCACAGTGAAGGAAATTCTATCATCACTTTCTTTAGAACTGGTTCACTTGCCAAAAGAATGTCTCTTCACCTATTTTAAAAAGCTGCTTATTTTGCTTTAAAAGGGCCCCAGAGGAAAATAAGAGGGGTGGGGGGTGTAGCAGAAAAAGAAATATAGCAGAAAAAGAAAAAGTAAGAGGAGATAAAAATGAGCTAATGGAAGAGTACTAACAAGCCACTAGAACTTGCACTTCTGAAATGGAGTATTATTCTTCTGCCCTATTTTTCAGAGTATTTATAAGGCATCAAGTGAGGCACGTGTGGTATTTTAGAACCTAGTTTTGCAATGTTTTTTTCAAAAATTAGTGAAAAGTTAGTGCTATTTTGTGTATGTACTAATATGGGGAGAGGGTTGAGCACTTATTTCAGTGAACTTTATCTTTCAAATATATTGACTCAAGTTACTGTAAACATGTTTTATAAACACTGTGATATGTGGCTCTGATTATTTCCTTCTGAAAATTTTGAGTTGGGTAAAATATTTTCTCAGATACTCAGTTTAACTTTGTAAGCAGTCTGAAGATCATGCTGTACCAGCTTTTTGCTCTATAAATTTTGCAGTAGTCTTTAGCCAAAAGCAATAAAATGTGACCTACTAAGTCTAATATCATGAACTGCTTGTAATCTTGTTCTTGACTAATACTTTGTTACTTTTGTGTAAGGGTACTAGACTTCCATGAGAATATAACGTAGCAACTTACCAAAATACGTTCCCAAACAAAAAAACACCGAATTTAAAATCAATTTGCATTTTCTTGAGTATAAATCCATACCAACAATCAGACTCTCCTTCTAAATGGAGCTTTTATTCATTCTGTTGCCAAGATACCTCAACCTAAAATTTAAAATATAGCTTTCCTATTTTTTTTCCCAAAATAGTCTTTTATTAACTCTGCTTTCTTCCTTGACCTGAGAATTATGGAAGGGATTTAAGTGAGTGTTATTAAGTGTTTAAGTGTTTGGGTAATTTTCTTAAAATTTCTGGCTCTTTTAATGTATTTTCATAATACATTATGAAAATATAATCTAGCTGGGCATGGTGGCTCACACCTGTAATCCCAGCACTTTGGGAGGCTGAGGCGGGTAGATCACTTGAGGTCAGGAGTTCGAGACTAGCCTGACCAACATGGTGAAATCTTGTCTCTACTAAAAATACAAAAATATACTGGGTGTGGTGGCAGGCACCTGTAATCCCAGCTACTTAGGAGGCTGATGCAGAAGAATCCCTTGAACCTGGAAGGTGGAGGTTGCAGTGAGCCAAGATCATACCATTGCATTCTAGTCTGGGCGACCAAGTGAGACTCCATTTCAAAAAATAAAATTAAAAAAAAAGAAACAGAAAAAAAACCCACACACACACAAAACAAACAAACAAACAAACAAAGATGTATATAACCTATACAAAGTTCAGCTTTTGAGAATTTAAGATTCTCTCCTCCATGATTTAATATTTTATTATTAAAAATGTCCTGTGGGGGCCAGGTGCGGTGGCTCACACCTGTAATCCCAGCACTTTGGGAGCCCTGAGGTGGGTGGATCACCTGAGGTCAGGAATTCAAGACCAGCCTGCCTAACACAGTAAAACCCCATCTCTACGAAAAATACAAAAATTTAGCCAGGCATGGTGGTGGATACTTGTATTCCAGTTACTTAGGAGGCTGAGACAGGAAAGTCACTTGAACTTAGGAGGTGGAGGTTGCAGTGAGCCGAGATTATGCCATTGCACTCTAGCCTGGGCAACACAGCGAGTCTTCAACTTAAAAAAAAAATGTTCTGTGGGGCCAGGAGTGGGTGGCTCATGCCACACCTGTAATCCCAGCACCTTGGGGAGGTTGGCTGGCCAACATAATGAAACCCTATCACTACTAAAAAAAAAAAAATTAGGCTGAGTGTGGTGGTTCATGCCTGTAATACCAGCACTTTGGGAGGCTGAGGTTGGTGGATTTACCTGAGGTCAGGAGTTTGAGACCAGCCTGGCCAACATGGCAAAACACCATCTCTACTAAAAATACAAAAATTAACTGGGTGTGGTGGCTACCTTGGAGGCTGAGGCAGGAGAATCTCTTGAACCCGGGAGACGAGAGTTGCAGTGAGCTAAGATCACGACACTGTACTCCAGCCTGGGAGATAGTGAGACTCTGCCTCAAAACAAACAAACAAACAAAAAAACAAAAATTAGCCAGGTGTGGTGGCCCATGCCTATAATCCCAGCTACTGGGGAGGCTAAGGCATGAAAATTGCTTGAACCCAGAAAGCACCATTGCACTCCAGCCTGGGTGACAGAGTGATACCCTGTCTCAAAAAAAAAAAAAAAGTCTTGTGGTTGGCTGATTCCGTGAGAAATCCATGTATCCATCCCAACTGAGATCTTACCTGATCTTTTCTCTTGGGGCAGAACTGACCACTCTTCTCTTGCTCACACTTTTTAATTTTTTTTTTATTTTTTGAGACAGTCTTGCTTTGTCGCCCAGGCTGGAGGGCAGTGGCACAATCTCAGCTCATGGCAACCCTCCACCTCCCAGGTTCAATTGATTCTCCTTCCTCAGCTACCAAGTAGCTGGGATTATAGATGCTTACCACCATGCCTGGCTAATTTTTAAATTTTCAGTAGAGACAGGGTTTCTCCATGTTGGTCAGGCTGGTCTTTAACTCCTGTACTGAAGTGATCTGCCCACTTCAGCCTCCTAAAATGCTGGGATTACAGGTGTGAGCCACCACACCCAGCCCTTGGCTACACTCCTATGGTAGCACCTTTGACACATTAGTATACACACACGCAGACACACACAGACACACACACACACACACTCTTTAACATATTAAGTTCCTTTAGTACAGGTTTTCTTATTTACCTTAATGTTCCCTACATCTAGGAGAGTACATGGAAAATACACAATAAATACTTTTATATGAATAAAAAGAGAGAAAAATTGCTTTTATGTGTTAAGCCAGGATAGTAGCAGTAGACTCCCAGGAATGAGATGCAGGGAAGGCCTGGCACAGCTGGTCATACTTGATCTTGACGTATAAAACAAATGAGTCATTCACAATTTATATTTTAATAATGAAAATTCCTGAGGCAAAATTTTGTTATAATAGTAAAATAGTTACCTGAAAAGATGAAAAATTTATTTACCTAATGTAATCCACTGTCCAGAAGAATCTGAAAGTAACTTCAAATTGGGAATAACATTTGGGTCTTTGAAAAAAGCCTAAAATACAAATTTGAGGGGAACAAGTTAGATATTTTATTATAAATGACAGTAAAAATTAACATAAAATAACTAATCTCATTTAATTCAAATAGGAAGGACAATTTTAATTGCTGAAATGTCTAAGTAATAAATAGTTTATAAATAAATGAAGTTTTATTACATTCAAGTTGGAACAGTATGAACGTTGCGTGTCTAAGTACAGCTGCCTTTGGAACTTAATTTAGAAAATAATGATATACAGTAAACATTAGGAGGTTATATAATGTTTGAAAACTTTTTCTTCAGTGTTACTGAACTGCCTTAATAACAACTCACATACTAGATCTAAATCCAAAAGTAACCATCAATTTAATTCTTTCTAAGAGGCATGTGAAAAAGTGAAGAATCTAACTTCCTAAAAAGGAAAAATTTAATGCATGGCAAAAGACAGCAAAGCAGGTAAGAGTTTTATTCCAGATCCTTTTGTAGTTTATGAGCATGATGACTGGGTGTTCATAGGCATGTGTGAGATATGACACCCATAAACCTTGTTATGACGTTGGCACATTGTCAGTCTGACATAAAAAAAGAAAAAAATACATAAAAAAGAGCAGCTGGGCTGTAATCGCAGCACTTTGGGAGCCTGAGGCAGGTGGATCACCTGAGGTCAGGAGTTCAAAACCAGCGTGGCCAACATGGTAAAACCCCATCTCTACTAAAAATACAAAAAATTAGCTGGGTGTAGTCATGCATGCCTGTGATCCCAGCTACTTAGGAGGCTGAGAGGTGAATCACTTGAACCCAGGAGATGGAGGTTGCAGTGAGCCGAGACTGTGCCACTGCACTCCAGCCTGGTCAACAGCGAGATTCCAACTCAAAAAAAAAGCTTTAGTTTTAGGTACTAGCAGCTGACTTAAGCTGAAAAGGTAGAAGAAAATTTATTAGAAGCATCTCAGGGAGTCCACAAAATATTCCAGAAGCAGAGGGCATCAGGCTGAAGACTGGACCCAGGAATGATCCAAAATCAAATGCAGAACTGCCTTTATAAGCAAACTGTCACCCTTGCAGCCCCATCAAGCACTAGAGGAAGCCACCACCACCCTTTCTCCCATCCAAGTACTAATCAGGCCCAACCATACTTAGCTTTCAGTATCAGGCACTTTCAGGGTGGTATGGCCATAAACATCAAGTACTAACCAGCCCCAATGCTGCTTAGCTTCCAACATTCAGGGTGGTATGGCCATAGACATCACCATCACTCCTTTCTAACCAAGGCCATTGCTGTGCCAGGTCTGCCTGGCCTGAATGTGGTCTCTGCCACTACCTTTGCCAGTGAAATGAATTCTGTGTGTGCTTCCTTCCTTAAACTGCTCACTTAAAAATTCTAGTCTTGCACTGATGAGTATGTTTGTAAATCTAGGTCCCACACTTACATTTTGGATGCAAAAAAGCTCCTTGCATTTTAGAGGTTTCACTTGGACTTCCCAAAGGTAAATAGAAGTTACCTCCAAATTGCAGGGGTGTTCACAAGGTGCTAGATAGTCAGAAAACACAATGTCCATGAAGAGCAATAAATAAAAGAAAAATAATAGACTGAGAGAAGATAGGCAACTTTGAAAGCTGAAGGTGAGAAAGGATGGTACATTCCATTCAAGGAAGGGGAAGAGGTCTGGTGTGACCCAGAAAAGCAGCAATGGTCTGATAAGGCTGGGGAGTTAAATCGACCTTGTAGTCAAGGGAATAATTGTTTTTGTTTTTGAGACAGAGTCTCGATCTGTTGCCCAGGCTGGAGTACAGTGGCATGATCTCAGCTCACTGCAAACTCTGCCTCCCAGGTTCAAGCGATTCTCCTGCCTCAGCCACCAGAGTAGCTAAGATTACAGGCATGTGCCACCATGCCTGGCTAATTTTTGTATTTTTAGTAGAAATGGGGTTTCACCCTGTTGGTCAGGCTGGTTTCAAACTCCTGACCTCGTGATCCACCTGCCTTGGCCTCCCAAAGTGCTAGGATTACAGGCATGAGCCACCATGCCCAGCAAGCGAATAATTTTAATCTTGATCTAAAATCGATCTAGATCTTGATCAGTATTTTGATCTAAGGGCAGTAGGAAGACACTGAAGTTTTCTTTTTGCTTTTATAATTTTATAATACAGAGTCTCACTTTGTTGCCCAAGCTGCTCTCAATTCCTGGCTTCAAGTGATTTTCTTGCCCTGGCTTCCCAAAGAGCTGGGATTACAGGCATGAACCACTGCACCAGCCACACTTAAACTTGTTTTTTTTTTTTGAGATGGAGTTTTGCTTGTTGCCCAGGCTGGAGTGCAATGGCACGATCTTGGCTCACCGCAACCTCTGCCTGGGTTCAGGATTCAAGCGATTCTTCTGCCTCGGCCTCCTGAGTAGCTGGGATTACAGGCACGTGCCCACACCACCTGGTTAATTTTGTATTTTTAGTTGAGACGGGGTTTCTCCATTTTGGTAAGGCTGGTCTCAAACTTCCGACCTCAAGTGATTTGCCTGCCTTGGTCTCCCAAAGTGCTGGGATTACAGGTGTGAGCCACCACGTCTAGCTGCTTTTTTAAAGTTTACTCTGGCTGCAGTGTGGAAAATGAATTGAAGGGCTGGAAAAAGACTGGTTAAAAGGAAGGATACTGTTGTAATCATTGAAGAGCTGACATTCCCATTAGTCAAGGAGATAGCAAGTGGGGAGGCAGAGAAGTAGAAGGATTTAACGTTATTTAGGAGGAAGAAACAAATAGAGAATTGAAGATGACTCCTGGGATTTATCTTCATTAAAAAACCATTTAATAAATGCTATTTAACAAGAAAGAGAAAGGAGAAGAGATGTGAACTGAGGATTATTTACAAATGTCTCTATTATGCAAGACACAGTCCCTGTTCTAGTGGTGAAAAATTACATTCTAGTGGTGAAGAATTAAAGGTAAACACATTTTTCAAAAAGACATCATATATGCTCAATTATAAAAAGATAAATTTTCCCCAAGTTATTTCTAGACAAAAAGCAAGTTGCCTTATGACTTTCTGGTCTTTCAAATTAAAGAATATTCATGCAAGTATTTTAATTTATACAATGGTACATTTAGAAAAAAGATACATAAACTGGAATTAACCTCAATTAATACTGCTTTTGAATGCATTTTAGGCCTTCTGAAAGAATATTTTGAAGAAAATTTAAGGCCGGGCGTGGTGGCTCAAGCCTATAATCCCAGCACTTTGGGAGGCCAAGACGGGTGGATCACGAGGTCAAGAGATCGAGACCATCCTGGTCAACATGGTGAAACCCCGTCTCTACTAAAAATACAAAAAACATTAGCTGGGCATGGTGGCGCATGCCTGTAATCCCAGCTACTCAGGAGGTTGAGGCAGGAGAATTGCTTGAACCCAGGAGGCGGAGGTTGTGGTGAGCCGAGATCGCGCCATTGCACTCCAGCCTGGGTAGCAAGAATGAAACTCCGTCTCAAAAAAAAAAAAAAAAGAAAATTTAATTCAGATGTAGTAATTATTCCTGGGGGTTATTAACCTAACAGTTACAGGTTAGATGTTATTATAAATGGAGCTGAAGGTTAACTGGCCTGCAGTGAATTGACCTAGAATCAAAGGAAATAAGTCTTTATAAAGGACCCTTAAATAGAGCAATGCAAGTTACATTATTGAGATTACAATTATATGTCTAGTAAGTAAATTTTTAAAAAATGTCCTAATATACAAATGGCATTTCTGGCTTTTTACAGAATTTCCAGTAAGGCATTAGAAGAGATTTTCCATATCTCAACTTTAGGAAAGCTGATTGTGCTTTGAAAAAACATAAGATGATTCCCAAACTAGTTAAAGTAATAGCAAAGATACTGATATCGAAATGCATGCGAAAACTTTAAATAAACTTTTATCATAAAATGTGAAAGTGGGCTGGATGTGATGGCTCACACCTGTAATCCCAGCACTTTGGGAGGCTGAGGCAGGAGAATTTCTTGAGTCTGGGAGTTTGAGACCAGCCTGGGCAACAGAGTGAGACCCCATCTCTATTAAAAATAAATAAAAAATTTAAAAAAGTGAAAGTGAAAAAAAGATGCTTTTCTATTTTTAATTTTTTTATTAATTTAATTTTACATCTGGAATGCATACTGGACTCACAATATTTCTAAATTATTTAAGTATATATTTGACTATATCATCTATCTGGCAGACTGATGGTTTCCGATCCAGTATCAATTCTTTCTTCCTTAAGGAATCCCAATTTTATTTTGGACAGCAATATGCTCAGCTTCGTCTGCATTTCCAGCTTCCCTGGGATGTGGGAGGCCTAAATTAATTCTGGTCACATGCCTAAGTTCTGGTCATGAGATAAAAGCAGAAGTGTTGTGCAGGCTTCCAGGAAAGCTCTGTAAATTAAGGAGCTTCCTTGCAGTTGTTTATGCGGAAAATTCTCCTTATCATCCCTAGTCCCATGGTGAAGATGTCAACACTATATATTGAGCCCAGAGCTCTCTCTTGAGATCCAAAGTTAAACATTATATTCAACTATCCAGAATACTGCCACTTGTACATACCTCAAATTCAGCATACCTAAAGCTGAACTCATTTTCCTTGTAATTCTTCTGTGTTTTCTGCACATTTAAAGGCATCATCAGCCACTCCAGTCAACCAAGCCAGAAATGTGGGAGTCATCCTAAACGTGCCCCTCTCTCCTTTACTCTCAATATCTTACCATTCCTTAAGCCTTTCTCCTAAATCTCTCTCTAGGCCATCCTCATACTCAGCATCATCATATAACTGTCTAGAGGACAACAGTTTCCAATTTGGTGTCACTACTTCCTGACTAATTCCTAACCAACTCTCCACACTTCTGCCAAGGTGAACTCAATATTTTAAAATTTAACATCTTACTTAAAACCTTCTCATTGTTAGCTAGATAAAACCCAAATTTCTTTGCATGGCACAGAAGTTCTTCTAAAATATTATCCCGCCACTTTATCTACTGGACAAATTCCTACTCATCTTTCAGGCCCCATCTCAAGTATCTTGTCTTTTTAAATGCTCTTCTGACCACCTCCGTCAAAAATGATCATTTCTCTTTTGTGCCACCTACATACCTTATGCCTCTGGTATGTATTATCACTTCTCTCTCTGCAATACAATTTTTGTTATTTCCTTCACTTTAACTGTGTCTATTCCTCTATATAGACCTAGGAACTAAAGAAATGTCTGCCAGATAAATGTTTCCTTCCATGCATTTATCATCTCACAAATGCATACTTAGAACATAATTTGTTTTCAAATTGAAAGGGAAAATTCAAAATCTGGAATTCTAGTTTAAATACCCTTTGTTCCGTTATGAGTTTTGGAGTAGAAACAGCATGGTATCTAGAGTCAAAACACCTGGGTTTTGCCCTTTGCTGGATGTTTTTGCATACATTACTTAACCTTTCTGAATTTTTTTTTTTTTTTTTGAGATAGAGTTTCACTCTTGTTACCCAGGCTGGAGTGCAATGGCACGATCTCAACTCATGGCAACCTCTGACTCCCGGGTTCAAGCAAATCCCCAGCCTTAGCCTCATACTCCTGGGCTCAAATGATCCTCCTTTCTCAGCCCCCCAAAGGGCTGGGATTTTAGTTTGGGGCCCCCCCCCCCCGGGTTTAGTTTTTTTTTTTTTTTTGTAACATTTCTAGCTACCCAAACTATACATGCTGTATAAGCTAGGATCAGTTCTCTTCATCTTTTATTTATTTATTTATTTATTTATTTATTTATTTAAGATGGGGTTTCACCATGTTGGTCAGGCCAGTCTTGAACTCCCAACCTCAGGTGATCTGCCTGCCTTGGCCTCCAAAGTGCTTGGATTACAGGCGTGAGCCACTGCGCCTGGCCCCCGAATAAATGAATTATATTAAACTTTTTGGCCGGGCGCGGTGGCTCACGCCTGTAATCCCAGCACTTTGGGAGGCCGAGGCGGGTGGATCACGAGGTCAAGAGATCGAGACCATCCTGGTCAAAATGGTGAAACCCCGTCTCTACTAAAAACACAAAAATTTAGCTGGGCATGGTGGCGTGTGCCTGTAATCCCAGCTACTCAGGAGGCTGAGGCAGGAGAATTGCCTGAACCCAGGAGGTGGAGGTTGCGGTGAGCCGAGATCGCCCCATTGCACTCCAGCCTGGGTAACAAGAGCGAAACTCCGACTCAAAAAAAAAAAAACAAAAAACTTTTTACAGTACTCGAAAATTCAGTTACCTCAAATTCTGATCTTTTAAAAAAAATTGGGCTGGGTACAGTGGCTCATGCCTGTAATCTCAGCACTTTAGAAGGCCAAGGCGGGCGGACTGCCTGAGGTCGGGAGTTCGAGACCAGCCTGGCCAGCAAGGTGAAACTCTCTACTAAAAATACAAAAATTAGCTGGGCATGGTGGCAGGCGCTTGTCATCCCAGCTACTTGGGAAGCTGAGGCAGGAGAATCACTTGAACCTGGGAGGTGAGGGTTGCCGGGAGCCAAGATCTTGCCATTGCTCTCCAGCCTAGGCAACAGAACGAGACTCTGTCTCAAAAAATAAGAAAAAAAAAAAAATATATATATATATACACACACACACACACACACACACACACACACATATATGTGTGTGTGTATATATACATATATATATATAGAGAGAGAAAGAGACAGAGAGAGAGAGAGAGAGACAGTACTGGTATAAATGAAAAATATAAAAAACTACATAATAATCTAACCATGAATATTTGAGAAATGTTATTCATGTCATTATCAGTAGCATTATAATATAATGGCACCATAACACTATCTTAGAGAAAGGGAGATAGACATTTAACCAATTTACTCTCTGTTATGGGTTGTGTCCCCCCAAAATTTACATCCTTCCTGAAATGTCACAAAGTGATCTTAGTTGGAATTAGGGTTGTTGCTGATGTAATTAAGACTAGGTTATGCTGGACCCTTAATTCAATATGACTGATGTCTCTCTATAAGAAAAGAGATGCAAGCCGGGCGCGGTGGCTCAAGCCTGTAATCCCAGCACTTTGGGAGGCCGAGGCGGGTGGATCACGAGGTCAAGAGATCGAGACCATCCTGGTCAACATGGTGAAACCCCGTCTCTACTAAAACTACAAAAAATTAGCTGGGCATGGTGGTGCGTGCCTGTAATCCCATCTACTCAGGAGGCTGAGGCAGGAGAATTGCCTGAACCCAGGAGGCGGAGGTTGCGGTGAGCCGAGATCGTGCCATTGTACTCCAGCCTGGGTAACAAGAGCGAAACTCCGTCTCGGGGGGAAAAAAAAAAAAAAAAAAAAAAAAAAAAAGAAAAGAAAAGAGATGCAGACACATGAAGGGAAAAGGCTATGGGACTGACAGGTAGAGAAGAAAGTGCCGCAGCTGCAAGCCAAAGGATGCCAAAGGTGGCTGGCAATTGCCAGAAGCCCGGAAGAGGCAAGGATGGATTCTCCCCTACAGGTTTCACAGGAACGATGGCCCTGCCAACACCTTGATTTAAGACTTCTCGCCTCCAGAACTATGACACAATTCTACCTCATGTTGTCCTTTCTCATTCCCTCTTATTTTTCTTACTGCCCTTATCACTATAGGAAATAATCAGATTTTTTTTTCCCATTTACTGCAATCTTGCCAAGGCCTGTACAATCTTTGAAAGCTGAGCTCTTGTCTTGTTCCTCCTGTATCCCCAGCACTGGAAGGAATTCCTAGTACATGATAGGCCTTCAGGAAGTGTTTGTTCTGCCAAACTACAAACTATAGTCAATGCATGAAGGACATGAATGGCAGAGAATGAAGATCATTTCACAAACCACAGTATTTTCCATTTGATTGAGAATAAAAAAAAAAAGGATTGAAAATAATGAACTAAATTTTAACAAACACACCAAAACTTAAACTTTCAAGTGAGTTTTACCTCTCTCAAAGCAGTCACCTCAGCCGGGCGTGGTGGCTCACACCTGTAATCCCAGCACTTTGGGAGGCTGAGGTGGGCCGATCACGAGGTCAGGAGTTCAAGACCAGCCTGACCAACGTGGTGAAACTCCCATCTGTACTAAAAACATAAAAATTAGCCGGGCATGGTGGTGGGAGCCTGTAGTCCCAGCTACTCAGGAGGCTAAGGAAGGAGAATCACTTGAACCCAGGAGGCGCAGGTTGCAGTGAGCCGAGATAGTGCAACTGAACTCTAGCCCAGGAAACAAAGCAAGGCTCTGTCTCAAGGAAAAAAGATCATCTCTAGCAGTCAAAAGACTGCTTATTCAAGCCACTGTGCTACTGCTTAAAACTTTTTGGGGGGATTTCCTCATTTGGAATTGCTGGTAGAGCATGAAGCCCAGTTCTCAGAGTGTGTGTGATTTTGAGAAAAAAAACAAAAGTAATTTGGAGCTAGTAAATAGTGATAAAGCTGTGTGATAATATATAAAAATATTTTAAAATGAGGTGTGCCTATTTAAAAAGAGAGGCTAGGGTGGTGGCTCACATCTGTAATCCCGGCACTTCGGGATGCCGAGGTGAGCGAATTGCTTGAGCCCAGAGATTCAAGACTAGCCTGGGCAACACTGTGAGACCCCACCTTGAAAAAAATTTTTTTTTAATTAGCTGGGCGTGGTGGCCTGCAGCTGTAATCCCCTGTACTCAGGAAGCTGAGGTGGGAAGATCGCTTGGGCCCAGGAGGTCGAGGCTGCAGTGAGCTGAGATGGTGCCACTGCACTTCACTCACTCAATCTGGGTGACAGAGAAAGACCCTGTTTCAAAAAATATAAAATAAAATAAAATACAAAACAAAAATAAAAAAGAGAGAAACTAATCTCGAGAGAGAGTGAGATTTTCAAGAACTGCAAAGTTCTCTGAGGCAAGATACAAGACACTGAAAGGAGAGAAAGAATGAATAAAATAAAAAACAAATTTACAATGGGTGATTCAAAATGTAAGTTTCTTTAAAAAATCATTTGCACCTTTTATTACTCCCAAACGCCAAGAAAACGACATCACGAAGGAATGCCGTGTTCACAAGAATCCATGCCAATGTGGGGCGGGGGGAGTTTAAAAATCGGCAGAGGCCCAAGGAACTCTCTCCGACCCCCATACTAACCATAACGAAATCATCCTTCCGATAGGCCTGAAATGTCTGGTCAAAGCCGAACGCCTGCGCCTTGATTCTGCCCAGCATGGACCTGGGGCAGAGGAGGAAAGAGAAGTCATCTGGAGGCTGGCGCCCACTTAGAGCGCACCATTAACCAATCCCACCCGCAGCATCCGCCCCGCCCCGTGGCTCAGGGTTCACTCAGGAAGCCTCCGGCTCCACTCAGAATGGCGCCGACCCGCGCGGGCCCGCTCGACGCCTGGCCCGCGTCTCCACAACCGCGAAGACGAAGGGGCTCTTCTCTTCCTGCGCCTCGAATCCTCACCACTGGCGGAGCCGGCTAGTGATCTCCTGAGAGCTCAGAGACTGGAAGGTTTTCTGAGGCAGAAACCTGAAGTAGTAGCCGCCCAAGTCCCTGAGCTCCCCAGCAGCCATCGTGCTCTCTGCTGCGTGGACTCAGGGCTTGTTTCCATAGAGACGCGGCGGCGGTCGGGTCGGCGTGACGCTGCGGGGGCGGGGCCACGCGTCTCTACGGACTGAGGGGTCCCCGCTTCTCCGCGGCGGGTGCATAGAGAGAGGTATGCCTGTCTTTTCCAAGAGCTTGTGTCACCCCCACTCCCCCACCCCGGGCTTGGCGGTTAGGGAAAGTAGGAGTCGGGGATGGAGTCAAATTGCCTGTCGATACTTGTTGATATTAACTTTTATTAATAATTACTCAGTGTGGGTTAATGTCCTAGTCTCAACAGCTATAACTTCAGATTTACAGTTATCTAAGTTTGATGATTCAAACGTTTCTGAAGAAAAGATTATTCTGAATTAGGTTGATCTATTTTGGAAAACAAATGTCTGTGTGACTACTTAGGAAACTATTCTTTTTTACCATCTTTTTTTTTTTAATGTACATTTGAAGACCAAAAAAAAAAAAAAAAAAAAAAGAAATGTTTTCATAGACTACGTTACAACATGCTGTTTATTTTTATTTTTTAGACGACTCTTGTTCCGGTACAACATGCTGTTTAATAGAAAACACACTTTTCTTATTTTCTATTGAAAATAGCCTTTGTTTCTACAGGGTTTTTTGGTTTTTTGGTTTTCTTTTTTAGATGGAGTCTCACTTTTTAGCTCAGGCTGGAATGCAGTGGCGCGATCTCGGCTCACTGCAACCCCCACCTCCCAAGTTCAAGTGATTCTCCTGCCTCAGCCTCCTGAGTATCTGGGACAACAGGCTAAGTTTTGGTATTTTTAGTAGACACGGGGTTTCCCCATGTTGGCCAGGTTGGTCTTGAACTCCTGATCTGGAGTGATCCGCCCACCTCGGCTTTCCAAGGTGTCGGAATTACAGGCGTGAGCCACCGCACCCTGCCTGTTTCTATAGTTTTTATTTTTTCCTCATAGCAGTTCATTTGGACATCAGAGTGGAGAGAGAGTTCTTTTCCATCTCGTTGCCTTCTTTTCTTTTCCCCTAGCCCTTAAGAAATGACCTTGATTATTTTTTAGCAGCAGCAGCAGAAGAAGAAACAGGGAGCAAGTACAAAAAAGAAGAGAGAGAGAGAAATCATTCTGTTTCACTGATGTTTAGTATTCTATTACTTGACTATACTACAATTTATCCTTCTGGGCTGTTTCCAGTTTGAGGTTATTATGCTATGAACACTGCTGTGTATGCCTTTGGATGGATGGATGTACCATTTCTGTTGGAAATATATCCAGGATTGGAATTGCTCAGTTATATGATATACGTATGTCTAGTTTTACTACACACTATCAAAAATTTTTCTGAAGATTAGTTTACATTTTAACCAGCGATGCATGAGATTTTTCAGTTGCTCAAGATCCTTGCCAACACATAGAATTGCCAGTCTTTAAAAATTTTAGGGCCGGGCGTGGTGGCTCACGCCTATAATCCCAGCACTTTGGGAGGCCGAGGTGGGTGGATCCCGAGGTCAAGAGATCGAGACCATCCTGGTCAACAAGGTGAAAACTCGTCTCTACTAAAAATACAAAAATTAGCTGGGCATGATGGTGCGTGCCTGTAGTCCCAGCTACTCGGGAGGCTGAGGCAGGAGAATTGCCTGAACTCAGGAGGTGGAGGTTGCGGTGAGCCGAGATCATGCCATTGCACTCTAGTCTGGGCAACAACAGCGAAACTCCGTCTCAAAAAAAAATTTTTTTTTAGCCATTCTGGGGAAGTGGTATTAGTTTTTTATTGCGATTTTAATTTGTATTTCCTTGATTGTTAATGTTGCTGAGCAACTTTGTAATATGCTGGGCCATTTGGGTATCTTCTTTAGTGAAGTGCCCATTTGAGTGTTTTATCCATTAGGAGGAAGAAGGATTGTCAGTCTTTTTCTTACTAATATTTAGGAACTTTTTATATAATATGAATATGAGCCCATTACCAGATATACATATTGTGAACATACTCTTTGTTTATAGCTAGCTTGTAGCTTTGATGCTCAGAAATTCTTAATGAAGTTGAATTTATTAATTTTTTATGTGTCTCGTTTGATTTCTGCTTAAAGCCATGAAGATAGTCTCACATTTATGTCCATAATCCATCTCAAAATAATTTTTTAAGCTGAAAGTTAAATCTTTCTCTACAGTTTTTCAATAGACCCAGCTCTATATATTGGTAAGACCATGTCTAATCCAGTTAATTGCTGTGGCAGTTAAAAAAAAATAAATCGAGTGACTGTTTGGTCTTCTATTCTGTTTATTGGACTGTCCTTACACAAATGCCACATTGTGTTAATTACTGTACAATTATAAAGTGAGATTACATCTAAACAAACAAACAAACAAACAAAAAACTTGAATAACTTTTATTATGTTGTTGTGATTAGATTTCAAGTGTATAGTTTTAAGTGAAATATTTACTGGAAATTGATAGTTTTCTAAGTGTTGGTTTTCACTCAAATAGGCATGACTAGCATATGCTCTCGATAACCTTTATTAATTCAGTTGTGACAGTGTATTCTTGTTTTTTAGTACCTTCCAATTATCTTTATAGTTTAAAAGAAAGCTTCTATAAGTAACACATGTTTAAGGTAGAAAACAAGCAAAAGAGTAAAAATCGCCTGTCATCCCAGACAGAATTTTACAAAGTGTGGCATTTTATAAAGCATATATTCTTCTAGACTTTTTGTTGCTTAGCCAGAACTCATTTTCTTATTTTTCCACCTTAATCCAACCTCTGTGTTGTTCATACAGTCATGTGTCTTTGGTTCATAAGGTAAAATTTCACGTTATCTGTGGCTAAAAGAGCAAAATAAAGGTTATATATGTTCTGATTATTCTATTAAAGAAGCTTCTTTATTTTTAAATTATGTTCTCTTTATTTATTTATTATACTTTAAGTTCTGGGGTACATGGGCAGATCGTGTAGATTTGTTGTATAGGCATACACATGGTAGTGGTTTGCTGCATCCATCACCCCGTCATCTACATTAGGTATTTCTCCTAACGCTATCCCTCCCCAAACCCCCTACCCCATGCTATTCCTCCCCTGGCCCCCCACTCCCCTGGTTCTCTTTTATAATGATTAAAATAGTCTATCTTTTATAAAATTATAATGATTAAATTAAAACATTATTTTCAGTAGGGCAAGGAGGCTCACACCTGTAATCCCAGCACTTTGGGAGGCCAAGGTAGGAGGATCACTTGAACCCAGGAGTTTGAGACCAGCCTGGCCACATATCAACACTTCATCTCTACTAAAAAATTTTAAAAATTAGCCGGGTGTGGTGGTGCTTGCTTATAGTCCAAGACATTTGGGAGGCTGGGGTAGGAGGATTGCTTGAACCTAGTAGGTCAAGGCTGCAGTGAGCTGTGATCACACCACTGTACTCCAGCTTGAGTGACAGAGCAAGACCCTGTCTCAAAATAATGTATATATTTTGTTGAAAAGTTTGTAATCCTATGGGTACGGTGTTTCTATAGTAGAGCCTTGCCACTCAAAATATGGTCTATGGACTAACATTATTGACATCATATAGGAACTGGTAAAAACATAGAACCTCTGCCCAACCCCAGACCTCATGTCACGAATCAGAATCTATACTTTAACAAGCCTCTTTAGGTGATTCAAATACATATTAAATGAGAAGTGCCGGTCTAGACACTATCCATCCACTGTATATATTAGCCCCTTTGACTCTTATTTTAAGCTGTTTTACACTTCCATCTACCCAATTGCACAATTCAGAAACCTGAGACTTCTCTTTGACTCCAGCTTGTCCCACCTCTTTGCTAACTTTTCCCGTATCAAATTCGTCACTAAATCTTATTATAATCTCAATGTACATACAATCTATCCACTTCTCTCCAGGTTCCACTTCTCTCCACTGCTGCCACTTTAGTGGAAGATACAATCACCTTTTTGCTTAGATGATTGTAACGAAAACTTCCTAACTGTTCTCTCTTTTCTACTCTTTCTTTCCTGACATTCATTATGAATTCACCAGCTTGATTGAGCTTTAAAAAATGATAAATTATATTAAAAAATTGGTAGATTATAAAATGACACTGAGATGGGAGAGTTCCTTTGACCCCTCTCAGGACTTCAGAGAGGAATCTGGCTCGTTTACTGGCCACCGAGCTCAACTCAAGTCTCTTGCAAGTAGGGGAGCATGCAGGTGAGTGGCTACAGGAACTGGGACGACTGCCTTTGGGTGCTGACAGGGACAAACCCTGTACTGGCCTGCAGCAGCGTCTAGGGTTCATCAGTGACCTCTGGAGCCCTAGAGGGCATGTATTACAAACAATGCTCTTTTAGATTTGCCATCTGTGGTCAGCATAAGTGTTAAACAGCTCAGTGAAGGGTCAATGTGACAACCTTTTTGGATTCCCATGCCCAGTGCATGCTGAATCCTTGTCCGGCATCCAGGAAGAATTGGGCCACATGCACAGACTGAAGGGTGGTGTATGCAGAGGGTTTTATTGAGCAATGGAAGTGTCTCTTAGTGGGATGGGGAGCTAAGAGGGATGGAGTGAGAAGATAATCAGCTGTCCTCAGCTGAACCCCCCTCCGACTGTAGTCTCCGATGTCCAACGGCCTCTTCTCTCAACATTCAGATGCTTCTTCCCGTCTCCTTCTCTGGCGCGCAGCTCTGCTCTTCTGCCAGTGGAGCTTGGGGTTTCTATGGGTACAGGGTTGGGGTCATGGTGGACCAGGGTGGTTTCAGAATAGGCAACGTTCAGGTGGGAAAACAGGAATGCATATTCTCATTTATGGCCGTGGGTCCAGGCTTAAGGGTGTAGCCCTCACCAGGGACTACCTTTTTCTACCCAGTATTTCCCTGCCTCCTGTCCGTGTCAATATTATTGAGAATTCTTTATGAATTTTCACTTGCATATAAGGTAAAAATACAAAATCTCTATGGCTTACATTGTCTTTCTTTCCAATCTCATTTCCTATCTCTTTCCCTGGCTCCATACTTAAGAATCACTAGCTTGGAAAAAGCCAGGCTCTTTTCTTGCTCAGGGCCTTGTCACAAAG